ACAGTCTGTCCGTTATCATGACTGAGAATGGAATAACCTCTGAGAACTGAGAATGGAATCTACGAGAACCTGCATTTTGCAACTTAAATTAACTGCCAGTTCTGTCGTCTTGTGATAGAATTAAAAACCGATCCCGTCTGCATTGTCACCATTTCGGGATTACGAAGGGTTTCACGGCTGCCGCAGCGGCTAAGGATCATTCGACCGACCGTATTTCGCCTTGATATGTGGTGCAGTTACTTCTGTCGTTGCCCACACTCTTCCTTTATTTTAATCTGGTTAATTATCAGTATTGCCTGTGTTGGAAATCGAAACGAGAGTAGTGTATTTAAGCTTATTAATCTCTCCTGCCCATTCTTTGCCAGGTTTGCTAATCTAGTGACAGCTTGTTCCCCGTGAAACGCATGAAGGAGTGATATACAGAATGGACGGTAATATTATTATGACGTATTTAACTGTTGCTTGTCAAGCAAGTGCCGTTTTTTTAATTTTCTGATGTCATCCATAATCGTAGTCTAAGCTTCCATCAGTTATCTTCTCGTTCGAGAGGGTCTGCGGCAGGATAAAGTGATTTTACCGCTTTCTTCGTGCGGAATAGTGACCGTCAGTCCTTCGAGTCGCTTTTATTTTGGCATCCTTTTCTTTTTGGTATAATTTCCTTAAAGGGTTACAGAAGTATCCTCGATAATCGATGCCTTGTCGATTGAACAGTTACGGTCGCGCGACAGAACTGCGGGCTAGGAAAATGCCCCTCCACAGTACTTGGCGCTTTCGCGCTTTCCGTTACATTGATCGTTGCTCTCCTGCTGGACATGTTCGAACTTTTGCTGCTGCAGTTGATTCCTGTGTACTGGTGCATGCCCAACGTTCCTTCCTCTCCGGAGGTATAACAGCGCCCCTCCCCCCGTTCAGAACTGCCTTAGGAACACTTTCCGGATATTATTGGCCAGTTTTGTTAGCTTGGGACGACGATCATATAATTGATGATCATGCATTTTCCATTTGCTTCATAAACGACTTATTTCATTACGTGAGACGCTGAGTTCTGTGTTCGAGTTCGTGAATGATACCTTTAAAGTCATACCTTTCTGGTTTTTGAGTGCGCGAAATTTCTCGGCTGATCCGTTTGTTGGTGTTGATTTTTTAGATCTCCGGGGTCCTTGAGATTCATTGTTTTCAGCTAGCTTCATTAGAAAGGTATCAGTGAAAGTAGCGATTGTCATTAGGAGTCACTGCCACTCGAATCGATCGTCATATCTGGCCCCTTTTCTGTTCAGGGGCATTTTAAAGAGCAGGCGTACGCAGGGACGCATGACTGGTGCTTGTATATTTTCAGCCCTGATGGGCAGTACAAACTGAATATAGATCAGAATCGACGGTTAGCCACCGCTCGCCAGACTGGGCCTCTACCCGCCATTGATGGATTGCCTTCCAGATGGAGGAGAAAATTGCGTCAAAGAAGTCCAGATGCACTCTTGGTCACGAGTTCTCCATTTCACCAACTGCGCTGCATTCAAGTTAGGCGCAGCAAACCGAATATGCTAATTGGTAGTTTTGAATTCCTCGATCACTTGGACAGTTGCCTCAGGAGGTTGTTGGCATGTTTCTAGGACTTAGACACGATATTTGGCATCGTCGTAGAGGGATCGTTAGAAAGATGTGCTGAGACTCCCGGTGTTGACCTTTTGCATGTTGTAGCTAAACAGGTCGTGTATCCGTATCAGTTAATTCGCTATTCGGTTCGCAGGGACGGCGCAGAGCACGATAAGGATATCAGGCCTGACGATGTCATACATGGAACCGGCGAAATCAGGGGAGCTTTTCTTTTAAAGGTTCCTTGAACCTTTCGTTGCCCGCGTAATTCTTCATTACAGTAGTCTTTAGAGCGTTTATTTATCACGGGATATGTAATGTAAGATTTGCTTGATGTTTCGGATCGCACTGAATCCATATCTGGAAACCTTTTCGAAACGTTAGGCAGATTATTATTGTAAATGAAGTAACGCCGTTGAATAGGCCTTACAAAACCTACGCTGGTGAAGAATTAGTATGTTTGCAAATGTCAGTGATATTAAAATAATTCCAATAAAGTTTATCGGAAACCGCATCGAAATAAGACCTCAAGATTTTACAGTGAAGCTGCTTAACGGATAGCTGTGAAAAAGTGAAATCCTCAATACGTGGTGTAATCAGTTCTTTTTTGAAACTTTGTGCTGCATGCATATACGGATTTAGAGCGTAGTTCCTCAGCGTAGCAGCTCATTTCGTTGGTCCCCTGTGATGTGTATACCGATATCTGCACATATGCTGCTACAGTGCTTCTGTTGAGGCTGCGTTTGAAATATGGCCGAAGGCATTGAAATGGAGATCGGCGCTCTAGGACTAATTTCTTGAGAAGAAAATGGCGCAGTCGTGAAAGTGTAAGGAAGAGCGACATTCTGACGGTTGCAAACTTTCCATCCTTCCTTTTTCTGACTGTTAGCCTCTGAATGGAGATCCGCGCCGCATCATGGGCTTGATCCATCGATTGCATTACAAATCTCTTCAGTGACAGAGGTTTTTAAGGATGTCGGCAGCTTTCGACTCTCATTGATCTTTCCGGAGATTACCTTTGACTTATCCCGCCGCTGTTTTGCCGCAGTGAGGAAGCGGGGTTTATGAAACTCTCACGGATTACGGATTCACTCTCTGCATTAGCCGCTGAAATTGAAACCGACCCTGTTATGTATATGCACAATAAATGGTTTGTATGAAGACTAATTCTTCGTTCGAAAGACGTGATCAAGAAGAAACCTGCGATTCAGGTTCTTTTGCTGTTGCAGAAGTGGGTATTGTTGCGCTCTGATGACTGTTTTGGCCTGAAACTGAAGTATCAGAGCAGGAAGGAGCTGTTTGTTCTCTGGCGGCAGATTGGCTGAATAGAGCGGTAGTGGAAGAGTAGAGCAGCAGAAGGGCAGACATACATACGTCCATACCAAATTCATAGCCTTTTGAACGATGGCCGCTCACGTGATGCTCTTCCTTTTTATTTACATAGTTAGGTTTCAACTGCTTAGCTGTGTTTATCTTAAAAAATTGTTTAACATTTTGTCATTTGCATTCATTACTGGTTAACGTTGATAGTTACTTACAAACTAATGAATTAAATTCGAATAGAAAATGAACCGCTCAAAGTGCATGCGATCAGATATCACAGATAAGGCCCAAGTGACAGTTAACGGAGAGTGTATATGAAAAGCGGAAAACATCACTGTTTGGGCCAAGCATGTAACATGTGGCAACGTAACCAGAAGTCTGAAAAGCTGAACCCTTTCGCATAATGAAATTGGTTTGGCGGCTTCAACTCTGTCAGCAGACGGGGTTCTGCTTCGGCAGACCAGCAGATCAACGCGAGTTGGTGTTTTCAGCTTAGTGATATTGCCAGCGAGGTTG